GAACGAGGGAGTCCCCGTTAGGAGCGCTCTCCGTCACCCCCTCCAAGGACTCCATAAAGGGTGGGTAATCTGAACTGCTGTTAGGCTCATAGGCACAAACAACAGTCAGAACCCGTCCCCCCACCCGTAGGCGGAGGGAGGCTACCCTCTCATTCACCGTGGTGAACCCCAACGTACAGGCACCGAGATGGGGGGCAATAAGTATGCCCACTCCTGCTCGGCGCCTCTCAGCATGGGCAACTCAGAGTGGAAGAGTGTCCAACCCCTCTTGAGGAGACTGGTTCCAGAGCCAGAGCGGCGTGTCAAGGTGAATCTGACTGTATCTAGTTGGAACCTCTCAACTTCACACACCAGCTCAGGCTCCTTCCCCACCAGAGAGGTGACATTCCACATCCCTAGAGCCAGCTTCTGCAGCCAAGGATCAGACTGCCAAGGTCCTCGCCATTGAGCACTGCCCAGCACTCATTGCACCCGACCCCTACAGCCCCTCCCACAGGTGGTGAGTCCATGGGAAGGGGGACCCACATCTCCTCTTCGGGCTGTGCACGACCGGGCTCCGTGGGCGAAAGCCCGGCCACCAGGCGCTCGCCAWCGTGCCCCACCTCCAGGCCTGGCTCCAGAGTGGGGCCCCAGTGACCTGGGTCTGGACGAGGGAACACTCAATCCATTTATCGTACTCATCATTAGGGGTCTTTGGGCTGCACTTTGTCTGATCCCTCACCTGGACCTGTTTGYCTTGGGTGATCCTACCATGGGCATGAAGCCCCCGACAACATAGCATCTAGGATTATTGGGACACTCAAACCTCTCCACCACAATAAGGTGTTAGYCCAGGGAGAGTTTTACATCTTTCACTATACTCAGTTTATTATAATCAGATTTATGTATAATTTAAAATAAACTGCAATGAAATGTCCTACTATTATAGCAACATTACATTTGATCAAACTTGTAGAACAACTAATTTAATCTGTCAGTTTATTGTGTTTGTCTTCATCATGGGTACTGAACATGTTTTATTTTACATAAATTATGTGAATAATCAAATGAACAATACAGGCAGTCAAAAGTTAAATGTTTTATTGTCTAAGTGTAAGATGAGGGGACATACTTGGAGCCATATTTCCATCTCATTCCATCGCCCAGCTTTTCCAGAAAGACCGAATTGGAAAAGTTATGCAATTCTAAAACTGAAAGAAACAAAAAACAAGAGTCTAAAAAGACTCTGTCCCATGACTGATGGGAACAGAGGACACCATAATCTTCATGTTTTATGAATCTTTAAACATTTATAGATGTAGTGGGTGGTTACTTGCCAAGAAATAAAGTGCTGATAGGTTGTGTTTGTTCTGTCACATTGAACTTTGAACGGTTATAGACACAACACCAAGGACTGCATGGAGCTTTAAAATCTTTATAAGGATCTTTGAAACACAGGAGCCATTCCTTCCAGGGTTCTTCCAGCTTTTGAAAACATGTCTGAACAGATGGAGAAGAATTCTGGTAGTATTCCCTGCGACATGTGTACAGAGGAGGACAGGAAACCAGCACVGAAGACYTGCATGAAATGTGAGATCTCCATGTGCGTCCAGCACCTGCAGGCCCACCTGACCACCCCTGTGTTACTGCAGACTCACCCTCTGGCTGAGCCCAGGGCTATAGGTGGGAACACTAAGTGTCCTCAGCACGGCAAACTCCTGGAGTACTACTGCTTGGACGACATGACCTGTGTGTGTGTCTCCTGTGCCATTGAAGACCAGCACCGCATCCACAACATGAAGACCTTCTCCACAGCCCACAAGGAGCTGATGGAGAAACTCAAAGCTGAGCAGCAGGTCTTACAGGAGAAAACTGAGAATAAGRACTTGAGTCTGGAAAAGTGGGAGCAGAGTGAAAGACAGAAGCTGGCTYGCTGTAGTGTGCGTCTTCTTGAAGCTGTGACCAACCTGCGTGACGTTTCTCTGACCAGYGTCCAGAGTTCAGTCTCTGCTCGTATGGTGGCCATCAGAACCAGCAAGAGCAGCATGGAAGCAGCTCAGAAGGAGAARGAYGCCTTCAGATTCCTGCAGATGTACTCTCAGGTGAACCAGGATGTGGAGAAAGCCAAAACTGTGGATCTGAGAAAAGGACTGGAGCCTGGAAGCCACCGTGACAAGCTGGTTCAGSAGATCAGAGAGAAGGGTGAAAAGATAACGAAGCACACGTCTGACTTCATAGAGTCATTGATGATCCTGGTTGACCCTGAACACCACCAGGGGCTCACTGCTACTAGTTCAGACCTGATCTTTATACCACAGGTTGTTCATCCTGGCATATCACTGTCTAAAGACAGCAGGAAGGTTTACTACAACAGTGACGAGGGACAGCTGTCTCCCAGCATGCTCTACATTGAAAGCACAGCCTCTTATCCTAACATCAGTAGATGGGTCATCAGCCTCTCCACAGACTGTGACTGGACCATTGGTTTGTGTGACAAACGCTATGCTAAAGACAAGAAGAATGGAACTGAGTTTGGTCTGCGCTGCCAAGAACAGAAGCTCATTTCTCTCACACCAGAAGGACATTTTTSCCAGAAGGCAGTCAGCTCTCTGGATGGAAGTGAGGCACAAACAATGAGCCGACCTCAAACAGTGGAGGTGATGTGGAGCTCTCCTGACACATTATCATTTTTCAGCAGGATCGGACGGTACCAGAGGCAAGAAATACTCACAGTGAAGATGAGGTACACCATCAGAGACCCGGTCTTTTTTGTTTCCTTAGAAAAGAATGAACTAAAGAAGAATATGGTAAATCATTATGGTTCCAGTCGCTTCAATCAGCCAAACACATCACAATTCGGTGCCTCCAGTGGTTTATCACTTATGACTAAACCACAATTGCAGAATCAGCGGAGATGCCCTTGCGGGAGGTTTTTAACACAACCTACTGACAGACATCAATTCAGAGGTCAAGCTTATGAAAATTCATCCCAGTCATACTGTTCTTGTGGAAGAATTATTGGTTCCCAGTCTGTAACAGAAGTACTTTGTGAACTTTGTTAACTTTTAGATTTAATGGCTGATAAAGCCAACATTAGTACATTTCTTTTGTGTTGCTGATGACATGATCTGTGTGTATCTTTCTTAGTTTTTTTTTTTTTTTTTGGTGTTTGAGTGTTTCCCTGTGTATCTCTGCCCTGCTGTCAGTCACTCCTCCAGCCCCGCCCATGCTCACCTGTTTCCTCTTGTGTCTCCTCCAGGTGTTTCTCATTGTCCTTCTTTAGTTGCCTTTATATTTTGTGTCTTGTCTGGTGTCCGTTCATTGTGCTGTTACCAGCCAGTGTGGTGTTCTCCATGTTMCCTGTGCTGTTCGTGTTTTCTCCTGAGAGTTCATGTGAGTTTTTTACTGCCTCGACAGCCCTCCTTGGTTAATAAACCTTTTTGCTTTTTGGATTTTGCCTGTGCCCTGGGTCATTCTGCACACTCCTTACAGTTAAGYCTTGTACATTTTCAGGTCTACCTGCTCTGTTTTGGTCTGTTTTTCATAATAACTCAGGGAATAATCAATATGCGTGTATATCAGAGGGCTTAAAACTGACTGAGCTGTGGCAGATGAGTGATACAGAAACTGAGCACCATTCATACATAAAACTGGTTCAGGTAATAAACCACAGAACAGAAGATGAAGTAAGTTTCATAGAATCATTGTTTTAACAGAGATTCATTAAGAACTTTGTAATTAATAGAAACCTTCTAATCATTGCTTCTTTCTTACTTCTGTTAGTATAAATCAATATGTGTAGCTCTGTGCTTGGATTTATTATGATTTATGAGAGAAAAACTTTGTTTCGGATTTTTTTT